AATATCCATCGATAAGATAGTTTCATTATTTTTAACAATTTTGAAATAAACTGTATTTTGAGTTAATATGAAACAATTCAAGTTTTCGTTATCTTTGTTTAAATTTGATTCTTTTAGATTTTCTTGAGTTTCAGTTTGATAATAGCATTGATATCCTTCAGCGTTAATATCACCATCTTGGTAAATGTAAACTCTTCTTGTATATTTACTTGTTATCTTAATAAAGAATCTGAATCCTTGACCTTTGGTATTGTACTTCAATTCCATGCTACAAATTTTATAATTAATATTGTAATTTCGTTTATTTCTATTGTAAAATAAAAAAAAAAAAGTAGATACTTTTGTAGTGGATACAAATTTTCGAACAAATTCATTTTTTTTTAATTCATTTTATTTATCGGAAGGTTTTGTTGGTATTTTTATAGGAAATCTTTTTAAGAGGTATAGATTTGTTTAGAAAGTGTAAAATTTTGTTTTTTTACGAAAATATATTTTTTTTATTTTTATTTTTATATTATAAATAAAAAATTTTATATTTCTTGTTAAAATAAATATTAAAATAAAATTGCCAAAAGTTTTTAAAAAGTTATTGGATATCCATTTCTATTTCCTGTTTTTTTATCATGCTCCAATTTAAAATCTATAGCAAGCTGTTTTGCTTGTTCAGAAGTTCTATTTTTTGTAATACGAAACCATTTTGCTTTATGTTTGTTATTTTCAGACCAACGAAATTGCCAAGCATTTAAACATTAATTAAAACTAATTCCATTATAATTAGATGAGTTATTTTTATAAATATTACGATTTAAATTATTTTCTCTATATGTTGTTTCTCGTAAATTAATTTCTCGATTATCAAGTCCATTTCTGTTGATATGATCAATCATTTTCCATTCAGGATAGATCATTTGATGAATAGTCGTTTTTGATATACAAACATAATATGTGTTTCTGTGTTTCCAACAAGACCAAGTATATTTTTTCAAGAGATTGAAATTTTCCTTATCGAGCAGGAAAGTGATTCCTGGTTTTTGAGTTTTCATTTCTAAATAGATTGTGAAATTAATCTTCACAAGATGATATTCATTTAATTTAAGTCTTGGTTTATCAGGATTCTTGTATTTTTTCCAATTAGTTAAGATTTCAAAATCTTTGAATTTTTTTTGCCAATCAGACATCTTTTGTTTAATAAATTAATACAAAATTTAAAGTATTTATATTTATTTTGAATTGTAATTTT